GGAGAAGATTAGCCGAGATATTTGGGAAGAGATAAACGAATTTTATACAGGACTAAACGTATATATATATATATATATATATATATATATATATATATATATATATATATATATATATATATATATATATATATATATATATATATATATATATATATATATATATATGGGCAAATCACTGTAGGTAAAAGGTGGATCTTAATTCATGAAAGAAAGATTTAAGCGTGTAATTACATCTTCAGGGTGAGTACAGATGTGAAGATGAATTATAATGAAAGCGCTTTGGGAACTGTGTGTTCTTTTCTTGTGGTTATCAATATATATATATATATATATATATATATATATATATATATATATATATATATATATATATATATATATATATATATATATATATATCTCTTTTGCGCCTTCACACATGATAGCTTGCATGACATCCACCTCAACCTGGCTAGACTGGATTATGATGATGGGCTCTGCTTTCATATCACTGTCTGTCTACTGGTCATTGTTTGTTCAACACACACACACACACACACACACACACACACACACACACACACACACACACACACACACGGTAATTGCATTAATTTTCTAAGGCCGAAAAATGTGTGTGTGTGTATGCGTATGAGACAGACAGACAGGCAGACAGACATACAGACAGAGAGAAAGAAAGATCCTCATTAAGAAGAAATTAAGTTCGAAAGTAAAATTCCGGTAACAAGAGGAATGAAAGACGACAATCATCTTAAGAGAAAATATGGAAGACGTTGAACTCTGTTAAACAAGACAAAGAAGGATGTATTTTTTTACCTGTGCATTGTCAAGCAGATAAAATTATATAAGAAGAAAAACTATCCTCGTCGCTCGCTGTTAGACAAGAAGATGAAACCAGTGCAGTGAACAAAGAACTTCTTGTCCGGTTCTGTGCAGAGAAGTTTACTGGAGACAGAGTGAGGAGGTGCACGAGTAAGGAGGAAGAACTAAGAACATCTCTGAAAAAGTAGTGAACGACCTTCCAGATAAACAAGCAACATGGAAGATTACCTGAAGATTGAGATACCGACCGTGTTTAGAAAGAAGAAAAAGAGGAAAAAGAGGAAGATGAAGAAGAGGAAGAAGAAGAAAAAAGAACAAAAAGAGGAAGAAGAAGAAAAAAGAACAAAAAGATGAAGAAAAAAGATATCAATTAAACCTTTTCCAGAAACTTAAGACATTAGGTAACCCTTTTATAGACACTGTTCACGTAATATGTAAAAAAAATAAAAGGACACCATAAAGTTAAATCAGTGTTGTTGTCAAAATCGTGGACTAAAAGACAACAACAACAACAAAATTTGGGGAAAAGAAGAACCCCAATTAGGTTTATACCATCTGAGTATGACGTTATATTGTTCTATATATAACTCGTAAAATATCCGGGAAGTGTTTTTTTACAGTCTATTGATCATGAAATAGCAGCCAGGTAACATAATACTACAGTGGATAAGATCAAATTCAAGAAGAGTTTACCAAAGTGTCACTAATTTTCCCGAAGATCTTAACATTAGCATTATAGATGGGTTTTAAATCAGTTGGGAAGGCCTGAGGTTAAATATCAATAGACCTGCTTAAATCTCTTCCCTTTTGTTCATGGTAAAGGTTTCGATACTATTACAATAACTGGAATAAAGAATCAAAAGCTTAGGATTAAAACTAAACAGGACCATTAATTCAACAGTTTTACAGGTATCATCTATAAGAGTTAACACGTGGATCAAGTATTACTGTATATATGGTAAAGGGAATTGGTGTCATATGAAAACGTTTTTAGCGAAATAAATCACAGAAGGTTGGAGCTTCTTTAGAGAACGAAATAATTTATGAGACTTTAACATGTTCTTCAGTCTTTAGAAGTAAGTTATATGATAAATAAATACTACCAGTGTTAATATATGGAGGCGAAATAAGGTGATAAACAATAATTAATATAAGAAATGGAAAATGAAGAACTAAAACAGCACTAGGCGGCCATATTGTAGAAGTATACAGCAACAATGTATCAGGGAATCCTCGACTGGATCCAACCAGATAAGAAAAAGATCTACGAGAACATTGGCTGCCAGATGGAAGGATGAAATTAGGAAGTTTGGAAATGTTAAGTAGACACGAGAGACTTATGAGAGAAGATTGCGAAAGCTTATGCAGTGACACGATACAAGCTGAGAGTAACGACTGTGAATTATATTTCACACTAAACAGTGGAAATTCCGATATTGTAAATAATATATATATATATATATATATATATATATATATATATATATATATATATATATATATATATATATATATATATATATATATATATATACTGTATTTATTCGAAGCGACCATCTCACCATCTCGCTCCGGCTACCTCACACAGGGGAGGCAGATTGGCACAAAACTCTGCGGGGAAAACCTTGACGAAATAGCAACATTCAGGGGACAAATCAGGTCAGAGAAAACCTACCGTCTTGTTTCCAATATTCTTGACGCGACAATTGAGGACGACAGTTTTTCCCAGGAGGCCAGTGACGTTGACTGACTCATGGTAGTCGAAGTAGGGTTCTTCACGGTGGTGTAAGACGTCTGCTGGAGCCTCCCGCCCGCCGTCCTCCGTGTCACCCACTGACGCTACCAGAGCTGAAACACAAGATAGTGGAGGAGGTGAAGGTTGTGCTGTTGGGGTGGTGGGGAGAAATATAAAAGGCATCACAAAGAAAGAAACATACAGGAAGATAAGGATAAAGAAACAGAACACATAAAAAGCAGAAATCAACTCAGGCCCCCCCACTCAGACGGGAGAAAATGTACAACAGCTAACTCCCGCAGTACATTATATCACTCCAGGTAAACATTTTAACTACAGCAAAACGATTAAACAAATTAGACAAATCCAGAAGGTGTATGAATATAACAGAAGTAATTATCGTCTCTTATTTCTGTCTTCAAAACCAATAAATGATTATTTCCGAGTACCCGAAGAATATTTTTAATTTAGTTGGTTTTCATTATACATGTATATCCGTATCGTTAGGCTCTTTTCAGGAAGACGCGTTATTGGTCGTTTCAGAACCAATAAACCAACTAGATCCCCTGAAGGAACGGTTAGGTATACAAATTACCCCACTTTATTTCCCCCCTCCCCGTAAGGTCGTGTGGCACCCCCTTTAGCGCCCGTGTCGAGCATATTGCTATCTAGATGAACGTGTCTGGCTTACCCAAGGAGATGCATCTGTTAGTAACATGATGGTGTAAACCTTATAACTGTGTCTTAACTGCAACTCCATCACGACGATGCCAGGAACTAAATAATTCTTCCTCACTTTGGCAGTACACGTAATCTGTCAACGTATTATCATTACTGTAAGATATAGTGTGTCTTTGGGTTAGAATACGTGGCAGTAGTTCTCGATCATATCCTTATTGATACCCTAAAATAAGTGAACATTTTGGTAAGGTGGTCCAGATCGTACACACTACCATCAAACATAACACGTCAATAACTACCCGGATGCTCACTTACTACCCCTTCCAATCTCCTGGCTTCCATTTCTCCTTGTTCCATAAATGTCTTGACTCTAACTTTTGTACTTATAAATAAAATCCCTGCCTCGCCCATTGCTATAAGTGGACTCTCGTGTCTAGTGGGAAAACTAATCTGATCTGTCTCCATCAACATTGCATAAGATTTCCCGATTTTAGGAATAAGATCCAAGTTTTATGAGAACAATCTGGGTATAGAATATTATTGGATCTAGTAATATTTTTATTTATTTTTTTTTTTTTTTTGGGGGGGTGATAATATTCTCCATTGTTTTGATACTATTCCATCCCAGGTTTTTAAACTACCTAGAGAGGAATACATTACATTAAATATAAATTCCCATCACGTATAATAAATGATATAATCCCTTCTAATATCCGTATTATTTTCTGGAAATGATCTAATTATAACTTTATAACAAGAAGATACAACTTGTTATTTCCATCCACAAGAAAATAATAAAGTTGGGATTTAAGAACAGGATACAAATAGCAAATAAACAGAGGATAAACAAATATAAAGAAAATATATCCTTATAGTGAGGATACATAGCTTAAAAGACTTCAAGATTATATAGGTGGGCGAAGATGGTTGACGTGACGATTACCTTGATATATGTGTCTAGATTAAGGCGTCATGACAGTAATGTAGTGGAGCTATTGAGAGGGGGGACAGGAGGGCGATTATCTCTTATGGTGTGGTAAGATACTGGACGAAGGAGTTGGCTCGGTCCTGTCCACACACACACACACACACACACACACACACACACACACGCACACACACACACACACACACACACACACACACACACACACACACACACACACACACACACACACACACACACACACACACACACTGAAACTGGCCCCCATCAAGCCAAGTGATACACTGTATACTCACACTTGACAATTTCATCTTAATGTTTAATGTGAGTTTTAGTCACTGTGAAATGTAGACCGTGCCCCGTGGAGATGACTGATAGCATAAGGAATTATAGAATTGCACCTTGACTTGGCAAATAGTATACTCTGATATATTCATTTAATATTGATGAAAGTGCTTTATCTAATGTACTCAAGAAGTATGTATAATGAGAGAGAGAGAGAGAGAGAGAGAGAGAGAGAGAGAGAGAGAGAGAGAGAGAACACAGACTAACATCTTCAGGACACCCATTACCACCCTCACCTGGACTACGTGCCCCCCCCCCCACACACTAGACAGGTCAAGAGGATAAACAGCACGGCTACCAAAAAGACTTTACTTCAACCTTGAGTCACGGAGAGTCAATAACGAGGAAAACCCATAACTTTCAGCCCTCATTCTCTCCCTTCCATTACACTCTCCCCCTTCACCCATTAATCTCTCTCACCTCTCTCCCTTACCCCCCTTCCCCTCCTTCCCTTAACCCCCTTCCACCCTATAATCCCTCTCACATCCCTCTCTTACTCCTCACCTTCTTCACACCTCACTTTCTTCCCTTGCCCCAACACTCACAATTATCACCTCCTACCTTCACTCACCTTCCACTCTTTCCCCCTCACACCCCCCTTTCCCTCACTCCCTCCCCTCACCCTCTCACCCCCTCCCCTCATCCGCCCTCTCACCCTCATCACCCCCTTCCGTCCCTCCCTTCCTCCAGCACACTAACAAGGAGGAGGAGAAGAAGAAGAAGAAGAAGAAGAAGAATGAGGAGGAGGAGGAGGTTAATACTACACATCACACCACGTTGCTGCACCAGAAATTACATCTAAGCCCCAAATAGCCGGAAGCAGCACGTTTCATGTTGACAGCTCGGGAGTGAGAGATCGTAAGAAGGAGGGGTTGTGGAAGCAAGGCCAAGTGAACAGCGAGTGACTGCCTGATTGAGAGACACCCAGGCTTAGGTTTTAGTCTCCTGGCTCAGCTGCTTGACACGGACTATACCACCTTGTTGATGAGACCTGTCCTTCTAAAGGCACCTGTTCTCGTTACACCCACCATGTACTATTGTCTCGTCTCTGTCTCGTTGTCTGTCTGCCGGTTTGTTTGTTTGTCTGTCTCTCGTCTGTCTCTTTCCATTTCTAAGTATCCCTCTCTTTCTTTCTTATTTACACACACACACACACACACACACACACACACACACACACACACACACACACACACACACACACACACACACACACACACTCTCAGCCCACACACCCAACTGCGCCACAAACATTATCACTCTCGTGGGATGGCCAACTCTACTCCACACGGACGAGCCACCAGGGAAGGGACTGAGGATGAGACTATGGCAAGACAATGACGTAGACACTATGGCAAAGTAAGACCACTATGGCAAGATTACTATGACGAAGAGACTAAGATTGGTAACTATGGCAAAACTATGGCGAGAAAAGACAAAAAAATTATGGCAAACTGAAAGGTCAATGGCAACGAAAGTATGGCAAGGTAGAAGGATTATGACTAGATTCTGGCAAGTAAACTATGGCAAGAAAACATTTCCTCCCTCTTACATCTTCTCTCTCACCCCCTCTCCTTCCCTATTCCTTCCTCTCCACCACTTCTCATCAATTCTTCCCTCTTTCTCATTATTTCTCCCACACTACTAACTCCACCTTCCCTTAACTCTCACATACAGCCTGTTTCTCACTCTCTCCACCACTACTTCCTCACTCTCCTTCACCACCTCTCCCTCACTCTCCCAATTACTATGACCCTCCACTCTCTCTCTCTCTCTCTCTCTCACTCTCACTACAACCTTTCCCTCCCTCTCCCCCACTCTCCTCAAAACCTATCCCTTCATCAACCTCTCCAAAACCTCTCCCTCCCCTCTCCCTATCTCTCCCTCCCTCTCCCCAAAACCTCTCCCAGGGATCGATGCACAGTCTTTCCCTGCAGAGACGGCTGGGCGCTGTCCTGCCAATTATATCAGCATCATATGTGTGTGTGTGTGTGTGTGTGTGTGTGTGTGTGTGTGTGTGTGAGAGAGAGAACGAGACAGACATATAGACAGACAGATAATAAGGTAGACTGATACACAGACACGCCGACAAACAGGCAGATGGACTGACATACAGACAGACTGACACACAGACACACACGCACATACACACGATAAAGAAAAAGAGAAACGTAATTACAAGAAAAAACAAGAAAAAGTAATCTTGTCAGTGTATGTATATTGGTGTGTGTGTGTGTGTGTGTGTGTGTGTGTGTGTGTGTGTGTGTGTGTGTGTACTAAAGATGAAGCAAGATTAATGAGACAAGGAACAATAAAAAAAACGAAGGGGAGAAGAAGATGAGAGAGATGAGGAGAGTGTAAGAAAAAACGGGTGAGAAGGGGAGAGAGAGGAGAACTTGTTAGTACCCAGGTCCTAGAGGGGTTCTGGATGGTCTTAAGTCCTGGAAAAGTTCTGGGTGGTCTTAGGTCCTGGAAAGGTTCTGGATGGTTATAGAAGCTGGTAAAGTTCTGGATGGTCATAGGTGCTGGAAAGGTTCTGGGTGGTCATAGGTCCTAGGAAGGTTCTGGATGGTCTTAAATCCTGGAAAAGTTCCGGGTGGTATCGGTGCTGGGAAGGTTCTCGAAGGTTATAAGTGCTGGAAAGGTTCTGGATGGTCATAGGTCCTAGTGGTGGTTCTAGAAAGCATCTTATACCAAAAACGAATGAAAAATGAATAATAGGGAATTGAAGAATGAGATGATAAACCATACTAAAAAAATAATTCAATATTAATTCCAACTTTTATCTCATCACAATAAACTATTACTCCAACTCCTACTATTACTATTTATACTATTTTCAACACCAATGTAACTAATAATTCCGTTTTTAATTCCAGCATTTTTTCGTATATAAAAGTTGTATATACTGATGTAAAAATATTCTCAGAAAAAAATTCCCTGTTTCAAATTCTCTCATGCATAGAACACCCGATTTGGAGAGTAATTTGCATGCAGCCGTCCTCTTCACCTGCAAAAATAATCACACCTAGGCATAAACTCTCTCACAAGTGGCAAAAAATGTGCTAGCTGTGTGTGTGACAGAGAGAGAGTTACAGTTAGAGAGAAAAAGAGATAGAGATAGAAAGACAGAAAGAGATAGAGAGCGAGAGAAAGATACTGTATAGAGAGCGAAAAATGAGAGACAGAGAGAGAGAAAGGGACACATAGAGAGAATTAGAGATATATAGATAGAAAGAGAGAGATAGAAAAAGAGAGTAAAACAAAATACAAATACTCCAGGTAGCGCCATCGAGAACCAACCTACTTAACAAAGGTGGGAGAGAGGCGTGGTAGTTACACAACACTCTCAAGTTCCAAGGTTCGAATCCTCTATCGTTCTCCAGGGGTCTTGGCTGGGTAAGTGTAGCTACCTTGGTTATCTCCTTGATGTTGTTCTTAATGTTAGTGTGGATCTTTTTTTTTTAGTTATTTAGGATCAATTTCGGTGATATCTAAAGTGAGTGTTGATATAATGAAGTTAATTTAGTAATCTAGGAGTTAGTTTCTCTCGATATCATCAATCCACCCTGTGACCTTGAGGTAGATATCCTGATATCCTGCAGGAGCCAATGCGGTGATCCCTGAGCGGCTCCCGTGGCCACAGGAAACAAACTGTTGAGCTCTTGAGTGGTTTCCTTGACTCCAGTAACCTGGCTGTGGGAGTTTCTTATGTGTTCTGGATTACTTTCCTCTCAGACTGTGCTGATCGCATGCTCTTAGCTCGCAGGAAGAACACGTCATTACACTCAAACTTTTCGTGATATTTTCGGATGTTTCATGATGCGTTGCAAATGATGTTCATGTAATTTATCGTGAACCAGTCAGCCTTGTATACTATCTTTTCATCAGTCAACATTGTGTGTGGATGTCTTGCAACAATGTGGTATTGTGATTTGAAGAAATCAACGTAGTTACATTTTGTATTGGACGAAGTCATGTACTGAGAAGGTGTGTGTGTGTGTGTGTGTGTGTGTGTGTGTGTGTGTGTGTGTGTGTGTGTGTGTGTGTGTGTGTGTTTGTGTTCAGGTTCATCTATATACCACAATATCCCACACAAACATCAGTTATCATTAAGACAAGTTATTTAACAACATAGACACAGGTAAGGTCAATCAACAACACAAGGGGTCGGGACCTCACCTGCACCCAACACAGGGATCAGCATCGTCAACACCGGCGAGAGTTTCATTGTCTTCACTCCGTTGTGGGTTCTGTAGAGGCAAGAGAAAAACACTTTATTAAAACTATTAGTATCTGTTAGCATTATACATGGGATGATTTTACATACATATATACAATTCATAATCATACGTGCATACTTGTTTACACATATACAAAAATTCATAGGATTTTCCCAGCTTCATATATAATTTATAATATACAACCAGACTTTCTTCCTATAGTGGGAGGCATGTGTCACCCTTATTGTTGAGTCATCAGCTACGGCACTGAGATAGCTGACAACATGACCTCGACATTGCATTAAGACTTTGAGAATCCAGACCCAAAAAGATTCGTACATTAGATCGCATAAAGTAAACTTGGTATTAAATGAACGCGTCTATATATATGGTAGTCTCATGGTAGTATTGTTGTCATAAGAAACCTTTGATAACTTCTGGTCTAACTTGGTGATCTTGTCTACCTAGGATGGTATACGTTCTTTAGAGAGACATACCCTGTACATACACACTCAAAACACAAACAAACAAAATAACTAAATGAAATGTGTCATTGTGTTGGATAAAACATTTTACCTCAAACCTTCAAGAAGATCGACAAGGGGATGAAAGTAATCAACGACAAAAACAAAAACAAGTAAATAAGTGACTCAAACAAATAAACAATATACCAAAGAAAACAAAACAACCACATTAAAACAAGAACAGGAAGAACACCATAGAAACACTAATACAAAAGAACCCAATACAAAAGAAATACTACACACACAGAATACAGGCAGGAGGTAATTCAGGAAACTCTCTGCCTGCGTAAATTCAGAGAAAGATGTTATCAAGAGAACCACAAAAACAAACATGGGATTGAGTTTTAGAGACGCAGCAAGAGGAACCAACTTTATGACTGCTGTTCCATCAGTCTAAAACCTTAACTTCGATTTCCTTGGAGAGTCTGAGGCGTGTTACTTTTTTGGGGGGAGGAAAGGGGGAGGGGGTATGATTGCTACTTCTGTTTTTTCTCTGGGAATCTGATTGCTACTACGTTTTTTTTTTGCTCTCTTTCTGGGAGTCTGGTTGTTACATTTCTAGCGAGAGATTGATTGCTGCTATTTCACAAACTGCTCGAGTACTGTTATTTTTTTTTATCTAGAGACTGTGTAATGTTACTTTTTTCCAGAGAATGATTTGTGTTACTTTTTCTTAGGGTGGTTGATTGTTACTCTTCCACCAACAACCTGAGTGTAACTTTTCCACCGTGAACCTTAACATTTCTCTTCCACTGACAACCTGAGAAATCTTTCCTTCTTCACAGAGGTCCGTCCCCTTCGTTGGTCTGAGGCCAAGCTGGCATGACAACGGGCCTGTGTGTGCTCTGGCATTCAAGATTTGCATAAGTAAAGCCTGGTATAAAGGCCACTCATTCCCCCCCTTCTCCTCCCCACCCCTCCCTCCCCTGCAACACCACTATCTCGGAGAGGGGAAGATGAAATTCTATAATCTTAATAGTTATTATCTGTTAAATTCAACCATTTTAGTTAATATCTAAAAGACTCAACACTCTGGAGTTCAATTGCCCCCCCTCCCTTCTCCTTCCCAACTCAACTCGAACGAAATCTATTTATCCGTCTTTTGAATCTGAATTTTTTTCCACTCAGTCCAAAACAGATGAAAGAAAAAGATACGATTAACAAGCAATAAAAGAAAATTCAATCAACGCCAAGGAATAGAGTAATAAAAAAAAATAATAATAATTAACTGAAAAGCGAAATGTTTGGTTCCTAGAATTCTGCAGAAGCTTCTAACGGGGTAAAGAATACAGTAAATCTTTAGTAAGTTGCAATAAGAGATGCAGAAAACATTAGCGAGACAATATAATACTTGGGTGGCTATGTTACTCTCCCCTGTACGTAGACATTTTAGCTTTTGGATATAGAGGGAACACGACAACTGTCCTCTCTTGATAATACCGAGGGCCTGAGCAGACTTGTTTACCTGTTAGAACTGATTTTGTTATCATTGTATGTCTTTTTTTATTTTTTTATTGTTATCTTTTTGTTATCTTTGTTGTTGTTATATTTAGGGTTATTGTAATTATTATCTCGTTAGGTCTATTAATGTTGTTTTTGTTTTTTATTATTACTCTCTCTCTCTCTCTCTCTCTCTCTCTCTCTCTCTCTCTCTCTCTCTCTCTCTCTCTCTCTCTCTCTCTCTCTCTCTCTCTCTCTCTCTTTCTCTTTACCTATCAGTACAGCGCCAATTTCCCCCCATGTTTTCTCTGGTATTCATTAAGTTCCTCTAGGAAACTCCCTGCCACTTGTATTTTTTCACCTAGTTTTTTCTCCATCCTGAGTCCTTCTTTGTTTCCTCTAAATACTCTCATTCCTGATTTCTTCCTGGCTTCTCTATCTCCTCTTAATCTCCAGGTGAATATCTACCTCCTGATTTCATTCCTGATTTCTTTGTATATTTTCTTATTCTTCTTTGATATTCTTACTCCTGATTTCTTCCTAGATTCTTCTTCCTGATTTCTATTTTAGTGTTTATCATTCTCTTAAATTTTCCTAAAATTCTGCTATTACGTATTTTTTCCTATTTATTACCTAAATACTTACTGTATAATATTTAATCTTTTTTTTTTTTATTTCTCTCTATGTATCCCCCTCTCTTCCTAATTACACCTACGTCTTCTCATTTCTGCCTTTCTCCTGATTTATCCCTATCCTCCTCTCTTCTCCTTTACGTTTTATCACGCCCCCTTACATGTTCTCCTTCCCTACTTACTTTCTACTCTGACTCTTCTTAATTATCCCCTTCTAATCCACCTCTCTTTCTTCTTCTTCTTCTTCTTCTTCTTCTTCTTCTTCTTCTTCTTCATCTTCTTCCCTCGTCTTATTCCTCCCTACTTTAACACATTTCTCTCTGGTTTCCCTCTCTACTCCCCTTCTTCTCTTTATGTTTCTTTTTCTCTCATCATTCCTTCCGTTTACTTTATCTAACTACACATATTTACGTTTAATCAGTTTCTGTTTCCTCCCCTCCTCTCCTTCTCTCCTTCCTTCCCCCCATTTCCCTCCCTGGCTATTTGTTATTCAAGCTGTGTTGTTATTATTATTATTATTATTATTATTATTATTATTATTATTATTATTATTATTATTATTATTATTATTATTATTATTAAACACGAAACTAACCACAGAAAACGACACACTCACTCAACTTAACTCTGTAATAATTCACAAAAAAGTTAATAACAAAAGAGTAATTAACACAACATTATGAAAACCTGCGTAATCTTGTGGTATGTTTAAGACGTGTGTTAGTCTTGGTTTCGACCTGCTGAAAGACTCGACCTTAAAGTACTACGAATTGAGGAAACTAATTCCATTTAGGAGGTGTTGAGTGGAAGAAGAAGTTGGAGACCGTTTGTGTTAAGCCTCTGCAAATTTGCCCACTCTACTGATGAGCTGCGGATGACCGTGTGTAGTGTGTGTGTGTAGTGTGTATGTGTGTGACTGTGTGTGAGTGTGTGTGTGGTGTGTGTGTAAGGATATTCATATAGAAGAAACTTTTATCTGTTCTAAAGATGATGTAAAGGTCTGGAATGAACCTAACCTGACAGTGAAATATTTAATGGTACATCTCATATATACCATCTACAATCCTCCCAGCCAGGTAGATTATAGATTAATACGAGTGTTCGTCATTGTTACGTAATATAACACACCGGTCACACCTATGAACTTCACCTGTAACCTTGACCTTTTGATACAGTTAATAGTATTTTGTATTATTTGTATCTCGTTTACCGGAGATGCTTATTCATGTGAAATATCGGGTAAATATGTTTTGATACTAAATTTGTAGTCCGGAGCAAAATACAGGTTTGCAGACACCCACAGAAAGGAACAGAGATTCAGACTGACGGACGAACAGAAACAAAACGTAATACCTCTCTCTCTCTATGCCCGTGACCTCCCTCTCTATACCCATAACCTCTCTCTATGCCTGTGACCTCTCTCTATGTCCGTAACCTCTCTCTCTATGCCCGTAACCTCTCTCTTTCTATGTCCGTAACCTCTATCTGTATGCCCTTGACCTCTCTCTCTATGCCCGTGACCTCTCTCTCTATGCCCGTAACCTCTCTCTCTTTATGCCCGTAACCTCTCTCTCTTTGTGCCCGTAACCTCTCTATTTCCCTTTACACAATATTTCCATGTCCACTAATCACGTTCCCATTTTCTGTTCCTAGTAAAGGTTTTCCCTCGATGGCGTCCCTAAACCATATTTAACTTCTAACTATAAAGTCATCCCACAGCCTTCAGCCGCCAAAATGTGGAACAGTTGGCTCTTCCTGCATTCTGGTCTTCCCCTTCCTCCACCAATCTAATCTTGTGTCATTTCCCCTCAACTCCTGGTCTGTTCTGGCTTAATCTTTCACTTTTCCCCCTTAAAAAAAACATTCTTATGCTTGCTGTGTGTATTACTTCCTCACTCAAGCTATTCTAACTCTCTTTAATATAACAATACTTGAAAAAATTAGAGAAAATCAAATCACTTAAAGGTTAGGTTATGCACAGTATCTCAAGAAAGTATATGTCTTCTCCCTGTGCGAAACATTATGAACCATGGATGATAGATATTGGGTTATACACGTTCTTGCCCTGTAATGGATGATAGATATTGTTGGGTTATACACGTTCTTGCCCTGTATAATTTAACATAAGTAATGCAATGTAAATAATATGACGTTCGATTACCAAATGAAGTAGGATCAGTATACCACACAGACACGCATACCAATCTTCCCGGGACATCACGAGTTGCATGTAGTATTTCGGAAGTCATCGAACACCCCTGTCAGATACTTTTTTTTTTGTGATATTTTACCTCAGCTTATTTTACTTTAAGATGAACCATCCCCACACAGTAATGTTATCTCTAACTTAGTCGTTGTCTTGTTTCTACATCTTACATACACACACACACACACACTATCTCTCTATCTTTCTCTCTCTCTGTACACCTTTATC